CGAAATCGCGGTCGCGGACCGTTTTTTGAAACCCTGATGGATGCTGAATTGTTTTTTTTCCTCAGTTTCTATAGGTTTTATGCAACATGATGTTTTTTTTAGCTGTGTTTGCTGATGGATTGGCCACGAGTAATGGAAATTTTATCTTTAGCGTGTAATTAATACAAACCCAAACTTGTTCAGTTTGGGGTTTTCTATATTCCTCATGATGCTTCACAGAAACCAAAATCTAATGAGCCCTGGAAGATCATTTAGTTTACCATGTTGGAGGTTATTAGTGGATAATCACATAGTAAATCATCACTTTTGTTTACCCAAATGATAGCGCTACATGGGAGATGTAATTTCTACGCCGGAGTTTGATCCACAATGAGCCATTAGGAAAATATTGTTACCCATGCTTAATGGGAACTCGTATTTTACAGTTCAATCCATATGGATCCTTGCACCAACAGTCATCACCTGTTGACTTCATTAGATAACCTCTATGAACGTGTTTGACCATTTGTGCAGATAGCCTTGTTTAGTCAAAATCAACAAACGTAGCTTATACTTTTTATGAAATAAATTACATAACAAAATCTCCTTTTACTTATAATCTGCCTTGCCTTTGTGGCATCATTATGTGAATGCCTATATTCATGGTCAAATAAACAATGATGTTTCCAACTTCTACGTATAGCTTCCAAGATGCTAAATATTATTCCCTTCTCTTTTACTTATAAACATGATCCTTTCCTGATACATTTGATATTCTTCTGCAGTCTTCATTTGCGAGATATATGTCTGGCCAAGGATTTGACACATGGATTCTTGAATTTCGTGGTGCTGGGCTGAGTGAGCAGACATCAAACTTCAAAGAAATTAAGGATGCTGATGTATTATCTGATCAGATGGTAGCCATGGCTCAGAGTGTGGCAAATGGAGCTTCTCCTCAGAAGCAGCCAACTGATGTTTCTGGTTACTTATCTGATTCTGAGTTTTATTTCCTTAGAGAAGATTCAATAGGGATTGGAACGGCATGGGATGAAGCAAAATTGGTTGCAGAGTTGACAGAAATTTTCATGCGTTTGTCTGAGGACTTTCAGGCTTTCTCAGCGAAGGTCAATCAAGACTTATCTCGACTAAATTATTAGATCAGATATCAAAATTTTGGAGGATTCTCAATTATCTGAACGCTTTGAGGAGGTGAGGATGAGCTTTCCAACTTATTGGAAGAACAACAGAACTCAGGTGTTGCTAGCCAAATTAGAGATCTGAGTCAAAGACTAGTAAATATTATTGAGGGAAGCCAACAGTCGTTTCACCCCAGTTCATTGATATTCAAGAGAGGCTTTCTTCAACAATAGAAGACTTTCAGAAACAACTTGACCTGATTGTGAAGTACGATTGGGATTTTGATCACTATTTGGAGGAGGATGTTCCTGTTGCGGTAAGGTGACATTTTGCAATGCCTACTCATTTTTATTTTATTAATTATAATATATTAATTGTGCTTGTTATTTTTCATTTTGCATACTAGTCACATCTGTCTCTAGGTTGAATTGACAATTTTCATTCACCTTCATATAGATGGATACATAAGGGAACAGACAAAGCCTAAGACGGAAAACTGCTTGCAATTGGTCACTCAATGGGAGGCATATTGCTTTATGCAATGCTGTCACGGTGTGGTAAGATATCATCATTTGAAAATTTTGCCAGATCGTGATTTTTTCATCCTTAAATTCTGATGCATAAAGGAAAATCTGGATTATGCCTCAATTAGTTGAACTAGGCTTAGAAAATCTTATAGGAGAAAATATCGTGGATGAGCTTGTCTCCTACTAAACTTTAACTAACAATTTATCCGCTGAAATATAACTGTTTATATTTGAAGTAGAAGAAACAAATTATATTGCTGAGGATGTACAAATTCTTTATGCATCATCACCTATTTAATAACCAATTGAAATAATAGTAATTAAATCTTCAGTATTCATATTGAAGTGCCACTGCTATAGTACTCTCAAATCTTCCATATTGAAGTGCCAATGCTACAGTATGCTTACTTTCAATCTTCTATATTGAAGTGATGCTGCATAACCACTGTACAAATACAACTGCGGACAGCAGCGAGCCTGTATATAAATTTTCATACATTCTGAAGAAACTTGGCTTGTTTGTTCACATACCATTCATCAGTATTAGTTTGTAATGTGCTTCTGTTTAGCTTACTTTATTTTCTTTTTCATGTTGATAAAAATCACATTGCTTGTATGTTTCGTTTCATTTCATTTTGTAAGGTTCTGAAGGGAGGGAACCTGGATTAAATGCTGTTGCAACTATGGCATCAGCACTTGATTACCGATCTTCAAAGCCACTCAACGTACTCTTACCTCTTGTAAGTGCATGAGTTAGTTTCATTCTTGTTAATTCTACTTATAAGATCAATAGATTTAGATTCCCTGAGAAAGTAACATCATGGCACTGGTTCTGCAGGCAGATCCTGCACAAGCACTTAATGTCCCTGCTGTTCCATTCGGATCATTACTGGCAGCTGCTTATCCACTAGCATCTCGTCCTCCTTACGTCTTGGGTTGGCTTAATAGTCTAATATCGCGGAGGACATGATGCATCCTGAGTTGCTAGAAAAGCTCGTCTTAAATAACTTCTGTAAGTATGGTGCATGTTGTCTTCACATTATGTGAAATTTGTGGCATTCTTACTGTAAATGGTGTTGTCTAGGGTGTAGGTTTTTCTGGGCACTAGAATGCTTATATTGTCTCAGGTGCAGCTGCAAAATAGCATTTTACTGAGTGGAGGTGCAATATACTTTTTTGTGTATCTCTATATATAATAATAAAAAAATGGCTGTCCCTTTTTCCCATATGTATGGGGTAAGGGGGAGGTAAGATAGTAGGCTACCCCAACCCAGGTTGAGAGCAGCTTCCGTAGAGACCTCCGAATTATGAAATGCCCTCCGTGGGACTCGATCCCACTACCTCAAGGTTAAGAACCTTGTGCTCTACCAACTGAGCTGGATGGTCATTTCCTATATATAATAATACTAAGCTTTAATATAAGATTATGATAATAAACTTTAAGAGTGGTCAAGTGTATCCTATAAAACATACTAAATTCTCTTAATTTGTTGGCCAATATGCATGATTTCCTTGTGGTCTCAATTGTTGAATAATTAAATGTTGAGTAGTTGAGAGTTTTATGTTATCCCTTTTTACTAATAATGTACAGTTTATAGAAGAGAGAGGAGAGAACTTCAATCGAACTGGCTTCTTTTTTAATGCTTATTGCCTTACAAAAAAGCACGCCTATGGGCATGCCCCTCCCTTGGAAGGGTCTAGTGTGTTTTGTGGCTTGGCACAAAGGTACAATGGCTAGGTAATGAACATCTGTGTACACTGTTAATGTCAGAAAAAATTAATAATTTGATCTTCACACACATTTGTACCTTGAGATTTTTGGTATTGATTTTCTCGCCAGAGTTGTTTCTGAACATTTGCTCCATTTTGAATTTATCAAATGCCTGTATTCATTCTCTTGTATATTTTGACTTGCATAAGATCTATCATCATTTCCAGGTACCATACCTACCAAGCTTATTTTTCAGCTCACATCAGCTTTTGGAGAGAGAGGTTTATGTGATAGGAGTGGTAAATTTTCCTACAGGGATCATCTAAATAAATGCAGTGTCCCTGTCCTAGCTATTGCAGGGGATCAAGATCTGATTTGCCCACCCGAGGCTGTAGAGGGTAGGTGTTAACTTTGTGGTTAGTTAAATACATGTAATCTCATATGGTTTTCATCTATGCTTATATTCCCCCCCCCCTTTATTTATAAAACCAGAAACTGTGAAGTTTTTTCCGGAGAATTTGGTAACCTATAAAATATTTGGAGAACATCACGGCCCCCATTATGCACATTATGATTTGGTGGGAGGACGATTGGTAAGTATTCCTTGCGTAAAGTAGGGTAAATTTATTTACATTTTAGATAATTGAAATCAGTATAAACTTTCATTTAGGTCACAAATATTTAATTTCATGTAGTTACATTTACTAACATCTATTATTAATGAACTATATCACTTGCACATGGAACCTTTTTTTGGCCGGCAAAACTGTTTATTTTTTCATTCTAAAATTCAATATGATTTTCTTACCTAAAATGTTGGTTATACCTATTTATATAGAAGTTCAGAGATCTAAATGAAATTAGGAGTCTGTGACCTATATGAAGTTCGGTGTTGATTCCGATTTTAAATTACCCTAAAATAATTTAACAGGCTATTTGATTGTTATTTGAGTGATGCATGTTTAATGTTTATAAAATTTGTTCAAACTGCAGGCGATGGAGCAAGTTTACCCACGTATTGTCCAGTTCCTTAGTCGTTATGATTAAAAAAAGCTGATCCTTTTGCCCATATATAATGGGGTAAGGGGGAGGTAGGATAGGCTGTCCCCAATACCAGGTTGAGAAGCTTCCGTAGAAGATCTCTAAATTATGAAATGTCTTCCGTGAGACTCGATCCCACCCCAATGGTGTTAAACATGATCTCCTTTGTTACTATGGCAGCATCAAATATGCTCGTTACAAGTCAATTATTTTTATGTGATTGGGTGGAGACATTGCAAATGAAACAAATTGATTTCTCGGATTCTGGTTCGACTGTCGGATATGATATAACTCAGTTATAGATATGTTTATCTTTTTATTTGGAAGATCCTCAGAGGGTCATATATCCAAAGTTCATGTCCAAACATGCGTTGGACACAAATGTTCACTACAGTAAATTTGAGGAAACAATGAATAGTTTGATCTTCAAAATCCAGAACCGTACTTGTACTAATGTTTTGCAATAGGTCCTTTGTTGTATTGTTCATGTAAAATTAAGATCATGGGAATCGTAATATTGACACGTGTACGCCATCCAGCAGTAAATATGTATCTTGTATTTCAACTGTTATTATGAAGTGTCATATTTTTTTACTGTTTTTGTCCTGTAGTATTCAAAATTATCGGAAAACACCCCTTTTGGGGGAAAGGGGCAGTGGGATGAGAGGCTCTGAGTAATGTCTCGTTGAAGAGGAGCAGGAGTGTTAATTGAAAGCGGCTACTTGTCTATCAACCTTATCCAGCACCAGATTTTACCTTGGATGATATGCCTCAAGCTCTGCTCTTTGGAGGAATGGAGTGCCTGCAAAACAAGAGCAGTGCTTGTGAAAAGGAATCACCCTATTTTTTGTTCCTGCATTTACTTTATAAAAGGAAAAAAGACAACAAATAATCTAAATATAAAAGAAAATTCCAATTCATCTCACCTGTTTTGAAGCAGGTGAAAAGATGAGGCATTGCAGCGATTGTTGGGTAGCAAAATCCAACCAAACTTTAGTTAAGATCACTTGAGCCATCCCTTGTTCTTCTGGTTTTTAGTATCTTTGCATGTTAGCTTGTATGAGAATCAGACCAGCACCAGAACAGGATAAGCTTTCTTCAATCATTGCTTATGGAGAGGCCTTTCCTGTCTTCCCCAACTGCTCAATTGTGGTCCCCCCAACGTTCTGATATGCAATTTCAGTTATGTATATCCCCAATCCGATGCATTTGTATTTTTCGTGTTAAAATCGTGATTAATTCATAATTTTATATTTTAGTTGTTTCTTCAATGTATTTTGTTTTCCAGGGGTCTTTGGCTACTATATAAATAACCCTAGCATTGGCCATGTTAAAGCAGATCAATTAACGTGCCTTTGCTGCCGATTGGAAACAATCAAATGGATTCCAATGCATCAGGGTTTTTGCTAAACAACTCGATTCTCCAAACAGTTTACTGTCAAAACAGTGAAGAAAATGGTATGATTGATCTTGGTCTTAGTCTCAGAACTTTTCAACCACAACCTTATCAGCCATCCACATTGTAAGTCTACCTTGCGTTTCCTTTTCCTATACTTGTTTGGTTAAATTCTGAATTCGATGAACTGATTGAATTAGGAATCGATGATTTATTCCACGATCTATATCATTCGATCAGGAGTCTTTCTAAATCAGTTTAAAAACAGATGAATTGGACAAAGCTACAAAATTTATCTTATGTGATGTCATTGGTTTGAGATCCAGTTCCATCTTTCAAACGTTGTTTGCAATGTTTTAATTCGAACTTTTGAGTCAGTGCTAAGCTTGGAAGCTGGATATGGTGACCTGATAAGTTGGCCCAGCCAGGTTAGTTCATCGCATCGGAAAAGCTCGAACGCTGAATATTCCGAGCTCGCTCCTAAAGACCCTGGTGACGAAGCAGAAGGGGTTCAGAGCAAGGAGAGGTGTGCTTATGTAAAGGTTAACATGGACGGAGTTATGGTTGGTCGCAAAGTTTGCATGCTTGATCAGGGTGGTTACTTAGGCCTTGCACGTCAACTCGAAGATGTTCGGTAAGTTCCAATCAATTTAAAGAGCTGAAAAACAAATCACATTAAATAGTTTAGCTGTCATCCAAACCAAAATCAAACTATTAACATTGTTAAGATTATGGTTCCAAGGGAGACATACAGCTTTGGGGTTAAGGTTGTTCGAATTTGAGTCCGAGTTTTTGTTGTTATACAAGGACGACACTGAGGATAATTGGAAGAATGTCAGCGATGTTCCATGGAAGTAAGCTTTTAACCATCTGCTATTACTATCAGCTGAGGGTTGAGTTCTGTTGGGATCAAGAAGAGGAAATCGAGTTGATCTAATCATTTTTCTGGTTGGATCTTAATGCAGGGAGTTCGCGGAACAGGTAAAACGGTTGCGTATTGGCCGAAAGAACGAAGCTGTTTATCGTCCTTGTTCGTCATCATTCAACTAATTCTTCATATTCATAATTTCTCAAGATTGCAACTCTCGGTAGCTGTGTGTTCGTTTCATAGCTCAATTTAGCTTACCATGGAGCTGGGTCTTTATTTCGAATGTCGGACATAAGTCCATATTTGTCATTATGCCTAACATGTTTCCGGAGATTAGTATAATAAAATCTTCTAAATGAATTTCAATTACGAGTACGAGTAACATAATAGAAAAATAAACAAACACAAGTATTAGTTCTTGCCACAGAGAAGGAATCCAACAGAAACATACCTTTTTTTTCGAGCATGATTGTATATAACGGTACTACTGGCAAATTCTGAGATGAAATATTAAATTCTTTAAGTAACTTCGAGAGTTTACTCCTCTTATAATTTTCTGTAAAATCCGATTTCAAATAATCGATCAATAGATCGAAAGAAACTATAATGTAGGGGTTTCATTCAGTTAATTCGGTGGCCGAACCGACCGAATTACCATTTTTGAATTAACCGAACTTTTTTTCGAAAATATAACCGAATCGAATAAATTTCGGTTAATTCAGTTAATTTTCAAATTAACCGAATTTTTTTAGAATTTTAGAATTAAATATTTTTTTAATTAAAAAAATAATTTACAATTAATTTAAATAATATCTAATTATAAATAATATCTAATTAATTTGATTCAAACATTTTGATATTATTTTAATTAATTAATATTGATTTGGGTTTTAAATGATTTTAAATGGATTGTGCCTCTTAATATAATTATATTTAAGTGTTAATTCGGTTAATTCGGTTAATTAACCGATTTCGAACCGAATTAACCGTTAACCGAATTCCAAAAAAAATCCTTAATCGTTCTCCGACCGAATTAATTCGGTGACCGACCGAATTAACCGAATTATTCGGTTCGATCGGTTAATTCGGTTAAAACCGAATTTTGAACACCCCTACTACAATGACTTCCGATGAAGCATTGTATAATAGTATCTTCGAATTCATCGAAGGCAATGGGTCGGATTTGGCTTCATATTTGTTCAAATCGCATGAATATGAGTATCATATGCGGTAGATACAAGGGTTTAACTTGTTTTCGTGTCTTTTTATTTTATGTAGATATTATTTTTAAATATTTATTTAAAATCTGTAAATATCAAATAGGTTTTGGAGTTTTATCATTAAATAAAATTATTTAAATTATTTATGATTAAATTACTTTAAATTGAAAGACAAATTAATCTCTTTAAAAGTGAAAGCTTTTAATTTTCATATATATTTTTTTTGGAATTGCGTCCTTACACAGAAAAAAAGTACAAGGGTGAAGGTATCATTTAATTTTAATTAAAAAAAATACACACCTCGTCTTGTTAATAGTCTGTAAAATAAAAATTATAATGAAAAACGAGAGTAATTTTTTGTCTCATCCCTTCCCACTCCATGACGTATTTAAGAAAAAAAAATTAACAATTAGTTGATTTAGTACGATGAAACATTAGGTTTTTGAGTAAAGTTAAAGATTTGAATTATGGTGTTTGCGAATGAAGTAAATTAGATTGGGAGGATTGTCCTCGTTTGTGCCGTACTCGATCTGGATTAATCGATCAATAGATCAAATATAAATGATTAATTTTAAAAAATAAGAAGAAGAAAAAATAAAACAAACAGCTAGATTTTAAAAAGAAAAAAAGGAAAAGAGCAGAAAAACAAAGGGAGGGGAAATTTCATCTTTTAACTCGGGATTTTACGTACATTTGAAATTTCAAAACCCTAGCTCCCTCAATTTTATCCCTATTTCTTTTGTAAGTCAGATCTTTACTATCTTTCTGTTATATGTTTACGAGCTTTTTCCTTTTCCCTAGAGATGAAAGGGAGCGGTCCAATACGACGTTGAATTTCGCGCAATTCGTTTTTTTCTCTTTGAAAAATGATGATCTTTTACTGTTTATTGTTTTCTTTCTAGATTTCTAGATCTGCCCCTGTACTTTAAACATATTTGAAGAGAGCTTCTAGATAAAAGAAAGAAAGAGAGTGTTTTTGATAGAGGGAAAAGAGGGGTTAAAGAATCGGAGATGCGTTCAAAGAAGATTGAAGGACCTTCTGCCCCGGCTACTCGTCGAGACCTTATGAAGTTTTGTGCGTTTCAAGGGATTCTTCCGATCAGGAGATCAAAACTGCTTATCGAAAGCTCGCTCTCAAGTAAGCATATATTTTTCTTCTTGAAACGTCATATTTTTGTTTTTGTTGGCAATGGTATAGTTAGTTTAGCATTAGATTGGACTTCGAACTAATCGGTAGTGGATTCTGTCTCGGGATTGCTGGCAATGAAAATAGTGGCGACCCTGAGTGTTTAGCAAACAATTTCTTTTTCTGAGCTCGCTGCAAATCTTCTTTCTTTGACTCTGTCAATTCCTCGTGTACTTAACTTCAGTGACGATTTATATTGTTTCCCTTTGGAAGTTGATTGCTTCTTCTGGTTTATGAGTTAGTGCTCCGTCTGAGCACAAACTGACATGAATGAGTGAAATTTGACGGAAACTTATAGATGAGTTTTGTAGTGACTTGAATTTTCTTTCCTATACAAATGATAGACCTATAGCTGATCCGTAAGAATTATGATTATGCCATATCAAATGCTTGTTTGATTTGGTTTGCTTTTAACTTCGATGCCTTCATATTTGCCTTTTTTGTTCCCTTTACAGGTACCATCCTGACAAGAATGCCAACAACCCGGAGGCTTCAGAGCTTTTTAAGGAAGTTGCATATTCTTATAGCATTTTATCTGACCCAGAAAAGAGAAGACAATATGACACTGCAGGGTTGAGGTGCTTCCATTTCCTCTCTTTTTTCTCTGAATTACTATTCTTTATCATGTTCAAAGTTGTCTTCTATATGTTGTACATAATTAGGTCTTGCACTTCAGTTTAAAAAGGAAAAGAGAGCTTCTGATGGGAACATCAGTTTTCGGTTGCAGTTACAAAGTTGGAGTTACTGACATAGAAATTGAATGAATGTTTCTGATGGACCAAGAACCTTTTATATTCCAAGGAAGAAAATGATTTTTTCCCTCCATAGAATGTTTAGTTGACTATTATAATTCTAGACTCCAACATAAAATTATAATTTCTTATTTTGATGCTGAGGATGAATTCTCTTCAATGTTTGGTTAAAGTTGAGGTTGTTAAAGACAGATCCCGGGAAAGCCATATGCAGAAGCAAAATAGATAGAGGAAGGAGTTATCTAGGGCATTTTAGACTGGCCTGGCTACTTGTTGAATTTTTTTTCTTATTATCTTTAGGTGTGAAATAATTGTCTATTAAAAAGGAAAGATTCAACATGAAGACCAGGTATCTGATAGAACTGCTGGGTTCTTATCTTTCTTTGGAATGCCATGGAGAATTGTGATTTGGAGATTTGATTGAGAAAATAGAAGTTGCTTCCATATAAGGCAGATAGTTTTGTGCTGGACGCAAATGCATGTTATGGGATCAGCATGGGCAGTTCCATTATATACAATTAGTTCTCTTTGTGCCCAAATTGGACACAGAACAAGTGCATTTAAAAAATGTATTGAGTGGTTTTTAGCAGTTGTTAATGATCACTCTCTTGGAAAGAGGGGGAAGAATGAAATAGAAAGAAGTAAGAGAGATGTATTTAAGTGCTTCCTTTGATCAATTGATTGAAAAACGCCTTGGAGACCTCTACTGATGGAAATTCTTCCCACTATAAGTATCTCTCCGGTCATCAAGTGATGATCTTGGCTTTTTTTTCTTTTAAAGTTCCCCTCCAGATTTAGCACTTGAAACTAGGAAGCCATCAGTTTTAACTGTTCTTTGTGATCTCTACATACTTTAGGTGATTTCCTAACTTGAATTCGCAAAGTGTTTCCGACTCCTCCACTTTTTTCTGGTCCCACCAAATATTTTTTTCAAACCTTGCATCACTGACTGAAATTGAAGAATCTATCTGCATGTATCATGATGGCACTAATTTTGTTCATAAATTTCCTTGATGATGTAAATTATTTGTATTCATTTTCGTCCAACCATATTTCTTTCTGTTGTTTATAATTTCCCTTTTTGTGGCAGAAAGTTTTCAAAACCTAAATATTTTCTCTTTTTCCAACAAATGTATAAGGCTGTTGAAGATTCGTTGGATATGGAGATTGATTTGTCCAATCTAGGAACTGTTACGATGTTTGCAGCATTATTCAGGTGAGACATAATATAAATGTTGGAACTTCTAAGTCCCTTATTTTTCTTTACCTGATTCATAAACATATATATCTTCAGTAAGCTTGGTGTCCCTATCAAGACTACTATCTCAGCTAATGTTCTAGAGGAAGCTCTAAATGGAACTGTCACAGTGAGACCCCTTCCTATTGGAACATCAGTTAGTGGAAAGGTTTCTACTTCCTCTCTATCCAGTGCACATACTCTTCCAGATATTTTCCCAAGTTCTCATGCATTTTGCGCAGGTAGACAAGCAATGTGCCCATTCTTTGGTGTAACAATAAATGATGAACAAGCTGAGTCTGGGATTGTTGTTAGGGTAACTTCAACATCACAAAGCAAATCAAGGTGTATTATCTAATTTTAATTTAAATAATGTCTTCTTTTCAACTTATGGTTTAACTGTTCGCTAACCTATAAAGTTTCCTCTCGGAGCTCTTTATTACATGTTTCTATGCATGGGCGGAGCCACCTTGATGGTAGTGACACCCCTTTTTTTATTTAAATCCTTTATAATTTTTATATAAAAATTATTAAAAACAAAATTAACATCACTTTAAAAGAATATTGATACCACTCGAAAAATAATTGGCATCGCTTGAAGGAAATTGGCATCGATCGTTTGCCTTACCCTCAAAAAAATTCCCTCGCAGAAATTTCTAAATTCTGACACCACAATTAAAATTTTCTGGCTTCGCACTATTTCTATGTATGTGCACATCTGTCATGCATGAGCGTGCATCTCTTCTAAGTGAGTACTCTGTCAAATTCCTATATTAACTCGGTGTTTCTATGTAAAATTTTCAGTTACTTTATTTGAACATGACACAATGGTGGCTATGGTTTGGCCTTACAGTACTAAGCACTTTTCTTTGGCTCTTGTCCTATTGCTTATGATTTTGTCCGCCACTTAAGATTTTCCAAAAGTTTGA